GTAAAGTATTATTGATAGGATGAAAGGCGTATTCTAATAGAGTGCTGAGATGAAAGGCCAAAAATGCAATTGATTAATTCATTAAACAACTTACTGGCATTCGTAGAGGCACAATAGGAGAGAGAACGGTGCAAGCAGCATCATAATACCTTTTGGTATTCCATTGATATGATTTCTCTGAAAAACCAAACCCCTGCAAAGCTTTCCGCTAGTATCATCATTACTTTCTTCTTCGTCACCGTTAGATTTCATGAGCAATTTCTTCATGAAACTGAGCAAATAAAACTTGGTAACAATCAATTTGTAAGTTTGTGTCTGAACATGCTTAAGCTAATGGCATTTCATAGATATAAATAAGCTTTAAGGCGAAGAAAAAAATGGATTGTCAAAATAATGTGCGCCAAAAATTTTCTCAAATATTAGGTTTATCACAAAAAAAATGACAATGGGCTATCAAAACCGTGTGCGCCGAAAGTTTCATTAGATATTAGGTTTGTGATAAAAATGGACTCTCGAAACAGTGTGTGCTAAAAGTTTCAACAAATATTAGATTTATGATAAAAAAGAATGGGCTTTTGGAGTAGTGTGTTTTATAAGTTCCATCAAATGGCTCAAATTCCTTGTGATAAAAGGTTGAGATTCACAAATTTATCAGTTGCATGAGTTGACAAAAATGTATCATTTTAATAATCTCGAAAAGTGTGATTTACACCTTGAGATGATATGATACATAGCTGTTTTCTAGGTTTCATGAACGGTTAAGAGTAAAAGCAATACTTCTTTGGTCTTATTTATAGGGAAAAAAGAAAACAAAATTTTTTATCCTATTTATAAATCACTTGTCAATTTTCAATGCTTCTTTTTATATTTTTATCTTTTTTAAATGCTTTAAATAAAAATATCAATAATGAGATTTAAGAATATTTATTAGCGGTAAAGGTGGAGACTTGTTTAATCTTAAGATAACGTTAACAAAATTTAAAGTTGTTCTTAATTTCGGTGAAATATGCTAGAAGTGATTTATAAATGAAACTAGAGAGAGTATCATTTTCAAAGCAATACTAGCATATTCCTTACTCTTGATGTTAAAAAACTAAAATGAAATTATATATAATTTACTTATGTGATAATTATTTACATTTCCTTTCATATGAAAAATGTTTCTTTTTTATTGTCATGGAAATCAATTATGGTCTTTTTCCATAGCTTTAACACGTTATGGACTCTAGAAATTCTTTGGCTAGCTTACTTTTGGATCCTCGAACGTGAGTTTAGAGAACTTTCAAACTATGCAATTTTGTTCTCTAATTTTTGATAATTTGGTTACTTTAAGGTTTAAAAAATTCATTTCTATCCATGCCTTTGTTTCAAAATGTAAGTGAACTTTAATAATCTCGCCTTGTTATTATTGGTTGGATTACAATTATTGTTGCCTTTGTCCTTTGAGTTCACTATAAATTGAATTAGTTTACCCAATTATAACACTAAATTACCCTAAAATATTGTAGATATTTATTATTGAGATCAGCCACGTACACTAGCTATATAATATAATTCTTATATTGTAACATGAATTTCTATTTACAATTATTTACAGTTCATTTTATAGGAATCTGTAACATCCCGAAATTTTAAGACTTGGATTTATAAAAATAAAATAAAACAAAATATCTACAATCAAATTAAAATTTAGAATAATTTGATAGAGGTCCAGAGTTTGAATTTTACTAAGTAAAAGTTTAGTTTTATTTGATTTTTAACTATGGAAAAATTACCAAAGTTGACCCGGCTTTTGTGCAATAATAAAAAATATTGGGCCATTTCTTGTAATTTTTCCCAAACTTTTAGATTAGCTTTTATAAGGGAAAAGAGATGCAGAAACGCAGAGAAAAGAAAGGAAAGGAAACGCACGAGAGGGAGAGAGGAAGGAGAGAAGAGAAAGGGAGAGAGTTAGGCTTGGATCTAGGAGTCTTTGCGACCGTTGCGAGCTCGGCTACACGATAGGTAAACTCCCTACTTCAATCCTCTTCTCTTTCTCTTGATTTTTTTCAATTTTTGGAAGAGGAAATTTTTGGATTTTGATCCCAAAGGCTTTATTATTGTAAGCTTTTGTTTCTTTAGATCCTAGGGAGCATGTTTTGAGTTTTTATATAGTGATCTAATGTTTTGAGTGAAAAATTGGATGAAAAGAGGTGTTTTGGGCACAAAATAAACCCTAAAAAATTGAGTTTTTGCTCCTCAATGGTTTAAGCCTATTGATTTAGTTATAATTTTGCTATTTGAGCCCAATAAGATTTAAATTAAGATTTGGTTTTCATTATAAGGGCTAATGGTGAAAGTTGGTGACACTAAGTAAAGGTTTTTAATTGATTAAAAAAATTATATAAATTGAAAATTAGCCTAGTGATGGCTAATAAATGGTTTTGGTGGTTAAGTGATACTATGTGAATGGTTGGTTTAATATATGGACCATTGAGATGGATTATGGCTCATAGACCCAAGTTGTGTGGTATGAGTTATAGTCTTCATTAATGCTATTTGACATGATAAGTGATGTGGATCACTTATATGTTGTAAGAATTGTTGGTGAAATTTGTTCAGAAGTTAAGGAACAAGCCAAGCCCTATTTTGTATAAGGGGAACCCTTTTGGTACCAAAGGGTTGAGATAACAGGGGAATTTATATTTCTTATTACTTTGTTTTAGCTATTTTTGGATAAATATTACTAGTTATCATGCATTACATGTTTTAAAAGATTAAATGTGCTTTATAAGGGGTTATGGGGTACTACTTTGATTATAGTGCAAATATGTTTTCTAATTGTCTAATAATAATATTTTTATGGAAATGAGATTTATAAATATTATACTACTTTAGAGTGTTGAATGGTCAATACTCAGGAAAGGTAGACAAGAGTAAAAGGCATGATCTCGGTGGGAGTTCACCAATGAGAAGGTGTGGATTTTTGATATTCTATGGCACACTGTCAGTACTCAGTATTGTTTTACGTATTGTGGGCTCAGTGCACTAAAGTAGTTAGTGTATTGAGTGTTCGACACCTTTCAGTGGGGAAGGGAATCCAACATATGAAGTGTGAGGTTGAGTGCCTAGGCCAAAGTAGCCTCACATGGAAAGTAAGTTGGGCTGGCTCTGGGAGAGAGTTAACTTCAACTGCTTAGGATTCATGTCGAAGGGGCATAAGAGGTTCGGTGGATTAGATCATGCCTTAGATTATGTTTTGTACCTGTGGAGGTACAAGTAGGTATAAGGCTTACCTGCGAGTTAAAGAGTGCCAGGGGGCATTCTGTTGGTCATAAAACGCCATACCGGCCTAGGTCAAGCATTCATGCATTTTAAATGGCTAAATTATATACTATGTTGAATTTATTATTCGTTTATTTGATTATGGCTTACTTTGTAATAATCAATATAGATTTCGCTGTTACTGAAACTGTGGTTGTCTCACCCCTTTTTTTTCAATATTCTAGGTCCAGGCGAAGGATTCAGTGGTGGACGGGAAAAGGAGCAAAGCTAGGAGTTTGCTTGTGATTTGTTAAGAACTGCAACCCCTTTCTTTTGAGCAAATATATTGTAATGTATTTAGGATTAGGGTGCCAGTAGGATATGATTATGTATGTGTGTGTGAATATGTGTGGATTGTGTGCTTGTGTATAAATTTTTATCTGTTTGCAGACTTGTGGCTAGGAAACTTGGTTATGGTATGTGGTTTTGATGGATTTACTTAGTAGACCAAGTTTCTATTACAAGCAGATATTTATTTTGATATATATGTGATTTTATAAGCAAATGCAAAGTGGTTGCATTGCAAATGATGTGCTATGAGCAAACATACACCTTGGATAGAGAGAGTGGGTGCGTGGGCCCCACAAGAAGCTCTGAGCCAAGTGAAAATGTTTAGCATATATATTTATATAAATACATGGTATTTAGATTGATTTGTGATCACTCTTGTATGATTTGTGCATTTTGGAGGTTTAGGGTCCATTTTGGGAAATGACACCCGAGTGGTCAAATTTTGATGTATGGGGGTTTTCCATCATTTGAATGTTCTATCAGGTGTTTTTAGTCTTATTTGACGTGTCCAAAGTATTCCCACAAGTTTGTGACCATTAGGATGAGATTTGGACAATTTTGAAAATGATTTTTACCAAAAAGCTGCACTTTTGCATCCGAGTGTCCAAATCTTAATCCGACCGTTGGATCTCTCTAAAATTTAGGTCACAAGTAAAACCTTTTATAAGCTTCGTGTGGGATTTGAAATCACATCGATCAGATATCGGACGGAAAAATGATGCACTCCGAAATTTGGTCTGGAGGTGCTGTCATGACAGCATTAAATTGCTGTCATGACAACTACAGTGTTGATGTTGTAACCTGTATAAAATTCAATTCATCTGTTGGATCTTTCCAAAATTTAGTATGCTAATAGTATTCTTTAAAAGTGACATGTGGGCTTTAAAATCACTACGATCGGAGGTCAGATGATGAAATGGTGCACTCCAAAATTTAGTCCGAAAGTGCTGTCCTGACAGCTTTTTAGTTGTCATGACAGCAAAAATAACCAATTTTTAAACATGTCTAATTTTCAATCCGACCGTTGGATCTTTTTGAAATTTGGTATACTTATAGTACCCTTTGAATGTGACGTGTGAGTTTTAAAATCACTTTGATCGGAGGTCGAATGACGAAACGGTGCCTCCCGGAAGTTGGCCCAGAAAATGCTGTCATGATAGCATCTTTTTATTTCACTTTCGTCTAGCTTGCTTCCGCATGCTATTGGTAGAACCTATAAATTTTTTTTAAAGGCTTTAAATGGTTTGTTTCCTAAGTTGGTTTTAGGATTAATTCCTTAACCACACTTAGTTTATTTGAATTGTGTGATTTTTGGATAACACTCGGGGCAAGTGTTATATAATCTAATTGTCATTAATTCATTTTGTAAAAAATTTCTCTTAGCTGATGATTGTCATGGCCCCAGATCAGTTTGGTCCAATGTACAAAACCGGGAAAAAAAAACAAACCAACAAACTAATTAACCACACCAAAATGCTTCAGTGCTTTTAAATCCCAAACTAATTAACCTCTTACATATTTAAAAAAAAAAAAGAAAAAAGCCAATGACAGCATAATATTACAAAGCAGAACCAGAAAAAGTACATTCATATGCGATATACTTCCCATTGCCTCCGCTTTTTTCAATCATTTTCACTTACATCAGTGGCTTGCTTTTGAGACATTTTTTGTTTATGTGAATGATGACATCTTCCATAGTGCACATGATAGATGGAACTCCTACACGTTGCACAAATGGAGCAAAATTATAATCAAGTCCATTGAGCTATAAAATCTGCAATCAACCAGCAAAAACACGGGCAAGCAATATATATATATATATATATGTATATTGTGCAATTTGGCCTCAAGACTATAAATCTAAATTGGTATTATTAACTATGAAAAGAGATAGCTGACTATGCTAAATTGAGAATATTTTACTTCTATGCAGACTATGATGAACAAATTATTGAACTGTTTTGAATATATCTAAACAGCGATAATCTTATATGCTTGTCAATAGATACAGATGTAAAAGAAGCAGTACATTAGAACTTCCATTTACAGCTGCCTTATTTTCATATGCAGTTGTATGCTTGAAGTCAGGATCCTTGACCTGAATTTTCAACATTTGTAAGAAACTACACAACATATATTGTGTAATACTAACCTTGCAAAATAAAAATAATAATGTAAAAAAATCATACTTTCAAAATAATTATTGAATGTTATAATACAATTTTTTTTTCCTTTTGAAATTCATTAAATTTAAGAAGGAAGAGTAGTGAATTACAAAGGATGCTAAAAGGATGCTCATTTACATTTAATTAAAAAAAATGAAATACACATATGCAAACACATTTATTTACATAAGTTACCTTTTTTGTGTTCTCTTCAAGAACAATATTATCTAACTGAGGAGTGTAGCTAGCAAAGAGATCACCAAATCCTTGAACAACACAGTATATATTGAGGACATCTTTAGACATCAGATTGATCTGAATCTGTCCCACCAACGCAAAGGATGCAATCTACATAATAATCAAATAAACTTGATTAGAGGCCGTATTACAAGAAGTGTTACCATATAGTTGCAGTTGAGCTTTTTTATCTATCTTGGAAATGTTAGGATCTGTTATCCTCTGCAGGAGCAAATAATTGACAGTGCTAGAAAAAATTGAAAATATATAAGCGAAAGGCCAATGTCTAAGAAGTAAAAATTGAGCAAGACAATCCAAATCCTAAAGAACAATAAATATACTTTAAATAATAATTAGTTGCCTTTAAGTCCATATAATCTACTTTTACCAGATTATAACAACAAAAGTATAGCAAAGAAAAATTAAAAGGAAAAAATATTAAATTTACAATCTATCAATTTTCTATATATACATAATTTTCAAAAACACAAATAAATTGAAAAGTGACGATGAAATTGCCTACCATTCCAAACTCCTCACCATATGTCCATGCATCCCTGTGGTTCCGAAGCAGATCGAATCGATCGGGTTCGTCTGATCCTTTTGTATTGCAAAAACACTAAGGATTAAAAAAAAAAAAGACATAACGAAACAACGCTTATTAAATTCTTCACCAAACAGTTGGTATTCAATCTCTATAGATTGGTTGAAATTGCAAAGATAAGGTAAAACCACTTAATTTGATTTAAAAGGAATATGAGTCATATCAAACAACTCAGGAAAAAAAAAAACAGTTTAAATGTAATACCTTTTGGTGTTCCATTAATCTGATTCCTCTGAAAAACCAAAGCCTTGCTGCAAAAGCCACTAGTATCATTACTTTCTTCTTCATCACCATTAGATTTCATGAGTAGGTTCTTCATGAAACCCAAGGCAAATAAAATTTGGTAACAATCAATTTGTAAGTTTGTGTCTAAACACACTTAAGCTGACGGGGTCATATAGATATAAATAAGCTTTAAGGTGAAAAAAAACAGTAGATTGTCAAAACAATGTGCACGGAAAATTTCATTAGATGTTATGGTTATGATAAAAAAAACAATGGGCTGTCAAAACTGTATGCACTGAAAATTTCTTATATGTTAGGTTTATAATTAAAAAAATAATGGACTCTCAAAATAGTATGCATTGGAAATTTCAGCAAACATTAGGTTTATGATAAAAAAATAATATGCTATTAGAATAATGAGTTTTCTAAGTTTCATCGAATGACTCAAATTCCTTATAATGATCAATGATTTTGATTCAAAAGCAATAATTGCATGAGTGCACAAAACGTATCATTTTAATAATCTTGAAAAGTGTGATTTTACACCTCGAGATAATATATATTTTTTCTCTCAGTGTCATGAACGGTTGAGATTAAATAATTAAAATAATATCATTTTGAAAGCAACAATGGTGTATTTCTTACACTTGATGTTAAGAAATTCAAATGAACATAAATATAATTGATTTATTCTATATTTATTTAAGTTTCCTTTCATATGAAAAATATTTCCTTTTAATAGTCATGGAAATTGGTTATGGTCTTTTTTTCCATAACTTAAGACATGGTATGGACTATAGAAATGAGTGGATTTTGACAATAACATCTAGATTGTGATAGTGGGATTTTAACAAGCTTGAGACTTTCGGGAAAAAATGATGGCTGATTTTCCACTAGCTTACTTCTGGACTAGTGGGGTAGACAAGGGGGGACCAAGAAGAGGGACGACCCCCTAACTTTTTTAATTTTTTTAGTAAAATGTAAGAATTTTATATTTTAGCTTTTAAACATATATTTGACACTATTAAAATTTAACTTTTCCTAAACTTTAATAATCAGTTATTGAAGAGTTAAGAGTATAGAACAAGTTATATTTGGAATAATCTTATAGAAAAAGTTTTTTTTCCATAAAAACTAAGTTATTAAAATTCCTAATATAATTTTTTGCACTTTGATATAATTTGGTCTCATTGACCCAAATTATGTGACAATTGAATATTATTATTGTATTGATATATTTAATATGTCATAGTTTATCAATTGAAATAATTAAATAATAAATTAAGAAAGCAAGTAATAGAATTTATTATATAAATTGAACACAAGTTTGAATTCTAAGGATACATTTAAATCATTTAATATGAAGAACATGTGCAATCTTGTTGAAAACTTTTACTCTTGAGATTTTTCTGATAAAGAACGATTCAATTGGAATGTGAATTATAATATTATATGATCTTGAGGTACTCAAAAATCCTAATTTTCATAACTTGACTATTATAGGCAAATTATGTCAAAAGATTGTAGAGGCTGAAAGGTCTAATTTCTTTTTTAATATTCTGAAAAGTTCAATTTTTACCCTTTGACTGATAGTTTACTAAAGCTTGCACCGACTCTTTCAATATCAATAAGAACCATTGAATGATCTTTTAAAACTATAAAACTTATTTTAAAAAAGGTATGGAAGATAGTTCTTCAATAATTTAACGATATTTTATATTGAAAAAAATTACTGAAAGGTTTATTGCAGAACATGATAACTGATTATTTTTATGTCATGAATCGATAGGTAAAACTTAAAAAATAAAAGTATAAATGTCTGTTTTGATTATATATGTGTAAAGAACGTGAATATGTTAAAATGTTTATGAGATATATATATATATATATATATATATACACATCTCATAACTTTTCTTCAATTATCTTATATCTTTTATAATTAATCACGGCCCGCCTAAACTAAAAATTCTAGTTCCGCCCCTATTTTGATTTGTCAAGGGTGGGTTTAGAAAAGTTTTCAAATGGTTCAATTTTTTTCTAATTTTTGTATTTATATTATTTTAAGGTTCGAAGATTTCATTTCTGTCCATATCTTTACTTCAAAAATATAAAGTTTTAATTAATCTCTCTAAAAGGTGATCTTTAATGATCTAGCCTTTTTCTTAATTACTGGTGGGACAGTTATGTGGTCCTTTTATCTATTCAATTTAATGCAAAATTGAATTAGTTTACCCCAATGTAACATATGTATCATAAAAGATTAATAGTTATAATAATTATAACTTTCTCTATAAATATCTAAAATATTTTGGGGTAAAATTTATAGAGAAAGTTATTATTATTATACTACTAATCTTATATGATATATAGTGTTAAAACTGGGTAAACTAATTCAATTGATATTGAACTCAAAGGAAAAAGGCAACAAAATAATTGTAATCCAACCAATAATAACAGAGCGAGATTATTAAAGTTCACTTTACATTTTGAAACAAAGGTATGGATAGAAATGAAATTTTTAAACCTTAAAGTAATCAAATTATCAAAAATTGGAAAAAAAAAATTGCATAGTTTGAAACTTTTCCAAACTCACGTTCGACAATCCAAAAGTAAGCTAGCGAAAAATAAGTCAAAGAATTTTATCCAAAAGTCACTCAGTTTTCAATGACATAGTATATTGGGGAACTTCACATGGTACCAATCCTCTCAAATTGAGTATTATTGAAATAAAAAATGGTTCTCAGGAGCAAAAATGCTGATAGTACAACCTAGATTTTATTGTCAAAATCCACTAATTTTTAGAGGTCTATACCGTGTTAAAGCTATGGAAAAAGACCGTAATTGATTCCCATGACAATAAAAATGAAACATTTTTCATATGAAAGGAAACGCAGAAAATTATGAAGTAAGTCAATTATATATAATTTCATTTCAGTTTTTCTAACGTCAGGCGTAAGGAATATGCTAATATTACTTTTAAAATGATATTACTTTAATTTAGTTGTTTAATTTCAGCTGTTCATGAAACCAAGAAAACAGCTATATGTCATATTATTTCGAGGTGTAAATCACACTTTTCAAGATTATTAAAATGATAAGTTTTGTCCACTCATGCAATTAATGGCTTTGTGAATTTCAACCACATTCATCACAAGTAATTGGAGTCATTTGATGATTATAAAACACACTACTCTAGAAGCCCATTCTTTTTTATTATAAACCTAATATTTATTGAAACTTTTGACGCAAAATGAGTTCATTTTTATCATAAGCCTAATATTTGATGAAACTTTCAGCTCACATGGTTTTGACATCCTGTTGTTTTTTATTACAAACCTAATATTTGATGAAACTTTCAGTGCATATTGTTTTGACAATCCATTGAAGCTTATTTATATCCATGAAACCCCATTTGCTTAAGTATGTTTAGACACAAATTTACAAAGTGATTGTTACCAAATTTTATTTGCTGAGTTTCAAGAAGAAATTGCTCATGAAATCTAAGGGTGATGGGGAAAAAAGTAATGATACTAGCGGCCAGGTCTGCAGGGATTTGGTTTTTACAAAAAATCAGATCAATGGAATATCAAAAGGTATTATGATGCTCCTTGCACCGTTCTCTCTCCTGTCATGCCTCTACAAATGCCAGTAAGTTGTTTAATGAATTAATCAGTTACAGTCTTGGCCTTTCAGCTCAGTACTCTATTAGATTACGCCTTTCATCCTATCAATAACACTTTATTATGAATTTGGTGAACAGACTTAGAGGCATGATTCACGAGTACTTAGAGAGAAGAAATTGGAGAGATGTGATATGCCTTGTTAAACAATTTAGTCCATGTTACACTACCAAAAAAAAAAAAAACTTTCAGTGGCGACTCTAAAAAGTCACAGTTGAAAATGAACAATCTGTGATAACAAAAAAAGTTGTCACAAAAAGGGTGAATTTTTGCAACAACAATATATAATCGCCACTGATTGTCAAACTTTTAAAAGCGACAAGTGTATGTCATCGTTGAAGGTCTAAGTTTCAACAGCGACTTCTATGTCGCCACTGACAGTTGACAATTAACAATAACTTTTTAGAGTCGTTGTTGATTATCAACATATTTTAAAATGTATCATGATTTCTTAAAAACTAACATTATAATAAATATGTTACAAGTTTTAGTGACAACATATAAGTTACTGCTGAATGTTGACAATCAACAACAGCTTTATATTATCATCGCTGAAAGTAAGACTTTTAGTGATAACTTGTTGAGTCACCATTAGAAGTCTCACTTTCAGCGGCAACATTCAAAGTCGCTGCTGAAAGTTTGATTTTATATTTTTGACATTATTATTTTTGTTTAATCTAATATTAAAATTTTTAATACATTAATTTTATTGTATTATTGTAATTTTATAATGAATATATAAAATAACATAATGAATTTTTATTTAATATATTTTATGGTTAAATTGTAACTTTAAAATAATAAAATTATTTTAAAATAAGGTTAAGGTATTATTTAATGCTAATAAGTTAGAGTAAAAAATTAAGCCAAACCATATTATTTTATGTCAATTTTTGTTATCAAGTAATATTTGGTTTAATTCAATACAACTATTTAGGCCAATTTAGTTAACTGGTTTTGGTCAAATAACACCAAATCTAATTGAATTGACTAATGGATACTCCTATGTGAAGTGATAAATTCATTCAAAAATCTAATGTTTGATTTTTTAATTTGGAATGCATATAATGTAGTAATGAGTCTCTATTTTTAAATATTTTATGATTAAATTAATATTTTAAATAATAACACTACTTGTTTATAATAATTAGACATGTGATAGTTAAATTTATTCATTCATAGAATGATATTTCATCTAATATAATTTTTCAATTCAAGTTCTACATTTAATACCAGTAACTTTAAAGCCTGATGTCAGTTTAGATGTTTTCAATTTGATAGCTAATTATAGAAAAGAGAAAGATGAAAAGAAGAAAAATGAGATATTCTAAAATTATGCTTTTAAGTTTTACAATATATGAAATATATCAATGTATGTGATGCTATATGATTTTTTTGTTTGATGCTATCTTGCGACATAAATATAAAAAAATTAGATAATATATTTTATAATTTTCTTATAAAATTATAATTTAAAAATGAAAACTAATTAAAAAAGTAAAGTGTAATGTAAAAACAACACAATTACATTACTTTAGAGTTATTGGTAATTAAAAGTAAAAATAAAATTTTAAACAAAACTAGCTAGAAAAATAAATAATTATGAACTAATGTATAATCATCTATATTTTTATTATTTATTCTTATATATTTTTTATATTATAATTATAAATATGAACATTAAAATAAATAATATAATAACCTCAAGAAGTAAAAAAATTAAAATAAATAATACAAATGATATTGTATCAACTATATTTATATTTTACTTTAGAAAAAATAAATAATATAATTTGAATAAATTAAAAGAATTAAATTGAAGTATTTAATGATAGCAATGAGATTTTATAATATTTAATATTCAATATGTGTGTGTGTGTGTGTGTGTGTGTGTTTGTATAGTTTAATAATAATAATATATATATATATATTTAATTATGCAGTAATAGACTGCAAGTTCACTCCAACTCAATGGCAAAATGATTGGATACAAAAGGAGGAGGTCATGAGTTCAAACTTTAAAGGAGGTAACTTGTGAAATAAAAATATAAATTGGTAAAGTGATGACACATGGTGTGAGGTGGGTCCGACACATGGAGGGTGACATGGTGCCACATTGTGTGAGGTCAAGGCACCACGTGGAGGGTGACATGGCGCCATGTGGAGAGGTGACATGGTAACACGTGGAGGGTGTGAGGTGGCAACATAAGGGTGGGTAAAACTAACATTACTTTTCAACAACGACAAAAAAGTTGCCGCTGATTGATAGTTTCTGTAGTGACAAATGTCACTGCTAATACTTAACATTCAGTAGTGATTATTTGATTGTAGCAGATGTGTGGTTTTCTCAACTTTTAACAACGACTATTTTTCTGCGGTGACAAATTTTATTTTTTACGACATTTGTTGCTTCTAATTTTTTACTTTCAGTGGCGACTTTTATTGTCATCACAGATAAAATCAGCGTTAAGAGCTCTTACGGCGATATTATGGCAACTTTTTGTTGCCACTAAAAACTTTCAGCAGCAAATTTTTAACTTTTCGCAGCGACAAAAGTTAATTTTTTTGTAGTATAATTAGGTATTATACGTTGTTGTTGTGATATGATAATAATACTATTTCATTTCTTTCTTTCTTTTAGTTAACATCCACATATAATAGGCACTCTGTCCATGATTCTCCAATTTCTTTTGATTTGTTTTTCCCTCTCTTGGGATAGAAGCCTATATCTTTTTGCAAAATATTAAACGGCACTAATTAACGATTCTTTAATTGTAGGATTATGGAAGAGCTGGAACCTTTTGAAGAATGGTAGGTAGTAATTTCATCTCCAATTTTTAATTTATTTTTCTGGTTTTGAAAATTATGTATAGGAAATGGGTAGGGTGTAAATTTAATATTTTTCCTTCCTTATAATTTTATTCTTTGCTATCCTTTTGCAGTAATAATCTGGTAACAAGAGATTATATGGACTTATGAAGGCAACTAATTAAAAGCCTATGTATTCTTCAATGGGATTTGGGTTTGTCTTGCTCAATTTTTATTTAATTTCTTAGACATTTGCTTTATGTTTATATATTATCAATTTTTTCTAGCACTGTCAGCTACTCTCAGAGGACAAATCGCAACATTATCAAGATAGATAAACATGCTCAACTGCAATTATGGTAACACTTCTTGTAATATGCTCTCTAATCAAGATTACTTTTTTTTGTAGATTGCATCTGGTGGAGCAGAACCTTCCTTGTAATATGCGTTCTGATCAATCTGGGTTCTAAAGATGTCCTTAATGTAGTTAGAGTGTGCTGTTCAAGGATCTGGTTTATGCATATGTGTATTTCAATTTTTTTAAAATTAAATGTATGGGCATTCTTTTAGCGATGCTTTGTAATTCACTACTTTGTCCTGCTTAAAGTATAGCAAAGAAAAATTAAAAGGAAAGAAAAATAAATAATATACAGTCTATCTATTTTCCATACATAACTTTTGAAACCACAAAAAGATATTGAAAAGTGAAGATGAAATTACTACCAACCATTCCAAACTCCAAGTGATTACTTCTACATAAGCGAATCAAATCCATTGGGTTCTTCCGATCCTTTTGTACTGCAAAAACACTAAGTATTAAAAAAAGCAAGAAGAATATATGATCAACCATGCTTCACCAGATGTTTGGTACATTTTATCTCTATAATTTGGTTGAAATTGCAAAGATAGGATAAACCCACTTAATTTGATTTAGAAGTTTAAATGTTATACCTTTTGGTATTCCATTGATCTGTTTCTCTGAAAACCAAACCCCTCCAAAAGCCTCAAGTATCATTATTTGCTTCTCCATCACCATTAGATTTCATAAGCAATTTCTTCATGAAGCCCTAGGGCAAATAAAATTTGGTAAGAATCAATTTGCAAGTTTGTGTCTAAACACACTTAAGCTAACGGCATTTTTTAGATATAAATAAACTTTAAGGTGAATAAAACTATGGACTATCAAAATATTGTGCACCAAAAGTTTAATTAGATATTAGATTTATGATTAAAAAAAAATCAATAGGCTATCAAAACAGTGTGTGCGTCAAAAGTTTCATCAAATATTGGGTTAATGATAAAAGACAATGGACTCTCAAAACAATGTGTCAAAAATTTCATCAGATATAAGGTTTATGGTTAAAAAGGCAATGAGCTTTTAGAATAGTGTGTTTTCTAAGTTTTATCACATGACCCAAATCTCTTGCGATAAATGGTTGAAATTCGCAAAGTAGCAATTACATAAACAAACAAAATATAACGTTTTAATAATCTTAAACAATGTGATTTATACCTTGAAATGATATGAAATATAGCCGTTTTTTAGGTCTCATAAATGGCTGAGATTAAACAATTAAAATAATATATACATATATATATATATATATGTATATATGTTACACCTTAAAAATTTAATGTGACCGCCACATGATAAATGTACAAATATACATCCTTGAAGTCTCAATTAAGAAAAAATTTTAGGTTAATACAATTGATCCACTATCAACATGATTATATGTACCTAATTTTATTTTTCATATAAATCAAAATTTTAAACTTTTGTAAAAATTTCAGCAAGATTTCCCTTTAAAGTAGAATCTCTCGAAAACATCTACACAATAGAAATCCTTACAATATGCATCCAACAACATAAAGCTCTGCTCCTTAGCAATAAATAGACAACGTAATAAAAGAGAATTAGGACCGTAACTGTAGTTAATGTAGAACACTCTAAATGATATTTTCAAAACATACTACATAGACTTTAGAATCTACATAAAAAGAAGATATTTTCATAACCAAATATTTACATTGAAGGAAAAAGGCGTGTCCAAGATGAATAACCACCCAACTCAACAAAAGTCCTCCAGTGGTCAACAAAACATATGATATCAGTTATACTATCTGAGATCAATTCAAATACTTTCTAGTAAATAACATCCCAGTATTAATAAAATTTAAAAGGATGAAGTGAATAAATGACAATGATTGTATAGATTAAAAAGACAATAATTCCATATAAAATATTTAATAAACTTTGAACAAAAGAGATTCTATATAGCCTTAAGTGAAATCTTGGAGCATTAAATTTATAATATCAAATATCCTTATCACTTGATCTTAAGAAGACAAATAAAATAAATAAATAAATAAATAAATAAATAAATATAGTAATATTTACTAATTTAAACTAGTGGAATTCAAAATCACCAAGTAATTAAAAATATTTCTAAGGACTTATCAAAATAATTAACAAACATGCACACACAGTCTACGAGAATAAACCGAACGCAGCTTATGCCACAAAAACAAATGTAAACACATAATCTGCAAGGATAACTAATCAAACATGGTCAAAGCCATGAAACAAACACAGGTACGAGACCCACGAATAACGAACATGAGAACAAAGCTTATAAAAATTAAATTAACTAGTCATTGACCATGGCACGCCAAGGGTTAACAGGACTGTCATTAGCAATAAGTATTTTGTATAGAGTCCCTTTTAAGATTCATTTTCAAATATGCAAGAAAATTATCACTTTTAAAATATAATTTTTCCTCTTAGTATCAAACTCGCATGAAACATATAAAAACATCAATATTTCTATATATGAAAATTCATTACTAATATTTTATAGACTGTTCACCAATTTTCATAGTTGGTTTTATCAAATAAAGGATTACTAAAATTTGTAAAAATATTTTTGTCAATTTGAAAAAATAAGTCAACTCCAAGAAATAAAATAATTTAAATAATAAAAGTAGCTAATGCTAAAGAAATATATAAATATCTATAAATTGTTAAAACAATATTTTGATAAAGAAAATTTTCTAATATATAAATTGATTAGGACATTATTTATTTACCTGTAGTATTCTTAAGTACAAATTCACTATTTAAGGTCAAATCTTCCTTCTTCTAAACACCCTATTCAATGTAGAAGATAATTCAATAATCTTTACTCAAGTTTAATACACTCTTTTACATTATCAACAACACCATGATCACTTATCTTATCAATTAAATAAGTTTTATGCCTTAATTCCTATTTATCCTTAATCACGCTAAAATTTTAGAGTTCTTTCTATCACCCATTTTTATCAAGGTGCATTCCAAAAATCAAGTCTTCAAATAACATTATCATTTATAATAATCAACCATGCAATTTTCCAAAATTTAATTTGTCTCGCAGTAGCTTCATAATTAAAATTCTTCACAAAACTCAAGTTAAATTTATAGATAATTAACATCTAAACCAACTATGCCCTTATAAAAGTTAATGAAATTTTAAAAAGTTCATAATTAAACAAAACTCATTCTAGCTGACACTTTTTCGAATGTCTTGGAGGCACCACTGCTTAAACCATAATAACAAGTTTATTTCTCTTTAAAATCTCTATTTCTAATTCCAACTTCCTTTCAAGCATTTTATCAAACATTTTATATGCATCATATTCAAACAAATACCAAACCTCTTTTTTCTTAATACCCTTTCCCAAAATTTCTAAATATCAATATTTAGATTAACAAGTTTTCCTAAATTTCATTCTTTCAATGGAATTAGAAATAAGCTCAAATAATATTCAAATTCACACTACCCCTAGCTCTAAAAATCTGAAAAAATCTAGCTTGTAAAAACCCCATCTCCTCTGTTCGAACATACACAACAACAAAGCAAGCGGAAATCAAAATATCTGTAATTTAAACATGCATGCACACCAATAGGACCAACAAGGAGAAGGGAGTTCGAAACTCCTCACCTTCAATCAGTGACGAAAGAAGCAAGAAGCAGCAGCTAGTCATATAACCATGGAAAAAAGAACAAAGTTCATCACACACCCGCATGAAAACCAGGATAGAAGAGGAAGGAGAAGGCCGCGCAAACATAACTCTGACGAGAATAATGGAGAAAGCACATTCAACGGTGGTTGCCGGCCAAATAAAGGAGGAAGGGAAGAGGTCGAGCTCTCCTCCCCCCCCCCCAAGGTTGCTGAAGAAGAATCAAGAAAAGGGAAGAGAAAGAAATTGACAAAACAGAGGAGGAAGGAACTCGCTCACTAATCGCAACACCTACAGAGACACACTGACAGAGAAGGAACAAGAAGGACGTTTCCAATCATCCACAACCTCCGGCAACCCAGCTCCTCACGCACACCAACGACGCAGATACAACAAGGAAAAGAAAACAGAGACGAGAAGAATCATGGAGGACCTGGGCATTTTTACAGGGCAGCGTTGAGTAGTAACCACGATTGCCGGCAACAAGGACAGAACATTGGAGAAGGAAGGACGAGGAAATAGAGATGGCAGAGGGTTTGATTCTAAGCTTCCCTCTGCCTCTAGTGAGTTCGACGAACTGGGAAAAAGAAACGAGAGAAAAATATCTAATTTAAGTGGAGGGCACAGTCATAAGTTCATAAGGCTGAAACAAAAATAAAACGCCTCTTTTAAGTTCTTTAATTCGAACAGACCAACTCTGCTTTTTTATAGTAATGTGCCGTATATATATGTTGTTAAGGTACCTTAATTAATACAAAAACAATTAAAACACATTATTATATATTTTAATCTTATTTAAAATTCTTGGGTTATTACAACATATATATTTTCGAAAGCAAAACTAGCTTATTCCTTACACTTGATGTTAAGAAGCTGAAATGAACATAATTAAATATAATTATCCTTTCATATGAAAAATGTTTCCTTTTTATAGCCATGGAAATCAATTACAGTCTTTTTTATAGCTTTAACATGGTATGGACTCTAGAAATTAATGGATTTTGAATATGAACTTTATTCATTAGGAACAGCCAATTCCAACACATTTGAATTAGGTAGAATTTTCATCATGTGCGATGTGCATTAAGGAAAGATGAGTTTGTTGAAGCTTTAAGAACATCTCCTTCATGTGATTGGGTGGGCATGTCAAGTTGTGCCCCTTCTATAACGTTGGTACGGCCAACAATTCAATGGGATTATTTGGACTAAATTTAAAATATCTAAAAATATTAAAAGTTCATATATAGTTAACCCTGACCCCCATCATTCTAAGTTTTCAGGCCAATTTGAGTTTTTACCTTAAAAAAATAAAGATTTTTTAAGGAACCTGATACTACAATACAACTTTCCTGCCCTTATTAAAGTGAGACTAAGCATAGAAAGAGTGAAAATGAAAGCATATGAAATAATAACCTCTTGCATTCCTGAATCACAATGAGTGATTCTTTTTTTGAGACAGGTAAAGGACAAATTCCCTCATTTTAATGGCACTGAACCTTTGGATTGGTTGTTCTGTGCAGAACAATACTTCTGGTTTTTCAAGACCGCTAAGTCCCAGAAAAATGTAACGAGGATACACATGGAGGGTGTAACTGTGCCTTGGTTTCAGATGATGAAATTAAAAGGGCAAATCAAATTACTTCATGGTCTGCGTTAGCTCAAGCAGCAGAAGCTCATTTTGGTCCAACCCAATACGAGTGCGCACATGGGCAATTGTTTAAGCTCACTTAACAGGGTTCATATGATGATTATGTGAAGAGTTTCGTGGCTCTAGCAAATTGTTGGGAAGATATGAAAGAAGGTTCCCTTATTTTTTTATTTTTATTTTTTTTTTGCTTCATAAAATAATACTTAAATGTTCCGTGGAGCCATTTTCGATCTTATGCGTGCTAGTGGGGATAGGGCAAATCATGACGAGCCAAGGCTACATCGCTGATTTGCCTATACAGATTTGCGAGCACATGATTCAGGTTCAAGCATTTGTGTTGCCGATGGCTGGAGTCGACATTGTCAATAGAGCATAATGGCTAGAGACGTTGGGCCCCCATGTTTAATTTCATACTATATAGTACGACCACTGCTCGGTTTGTTCACGGTGGAGAATTCATCACTTTGAAAGTCTTCAAGTCTCCTCCAGTTAAAAAGGCCCAATTGAAAACCAGAATCATGAAGTTGGACTCCGTGGCACAACTGTTCATGGTGAGCCCATTAGGCCTAGTGGGAAAGGACGACGGAACCCTAACCATTATTTTGATTACCTTACTTGAAAAACTTCAGGTCAAGCTTAATCAAGTTATGGCTGAGCCCAAATATCTAAATACAAAAGAATTCATTGTAAAAAATATATATGATATATGAAATATTAATAAAATATTTAATTTTTAGATCATTTTATACTAAGATTTAGATACCATATATTTAAGTATATAGTTATAAATATATTAAATAAAATTTAAAATATTTATATTGTCATATTTTTAATATTTTTAATTTATAAAACATCTCAAAATAATATTTAAAATATATTTTAATTTTAATTTTTAAATTTTAAAACCCACATATTTTTTATAAAAAATTTAAGTCTTTTACATTGTTTAGGTATCTCAAAAAATATATTTTATATTTTTATAAAATAAAAATAATTAACTTTAAAGTAAAAAATTAAATTAAAATTAATTTTAAAAATAAAAATAATAATAATTCAGGCATTGGAGTTGGCTTAAAGCCTGAAGAGGTTCAGGTTTGGCCATTTAATAACTTGATTTTTCATACATTAGTAAAAAATCTAGAGTAAATGCAATGTGTTGTACAGCACTAACCTTGCAACACTAATCTTTCATGCCTTCTGAATAATTCTCATGAATGTTATAATACAATTATTTCCATTTAAAATGAATTAAATTTAAGCAGCACAAAGTAGTGATTACAAAGCATCGCTAAAAGGATGCTCATACATTTAATTTAAAAAAACTGAAATTCACACATGCATAAACCAGATGCTTGAACAACACTCTAACTACATTACATCTTTAGAACCCAGATTGAGAAAGGTTCTGCTCCACCCACTCAGTAGATGCAATCTACATAAAAAAAGTAAACTTGATTAGAGAGCATATAACAAGAAGTGCTACCATAATTGCAGTTGAGCATGTTTATCTATCTTGAAAATGTAGGATCTGTCCTCTGAGAGTAACTGATAGTGCTAGAAAAAATTTAAAATATATAAACATAAAGCAAATGTCCAAGAAATTAAATAAAAATTGAGCAAGACAAACACAAATCCCATTGAAGAATACGTAGGCTTTTGATTAGTTGCCTTCACAAGTCCATATAATCTCTTGTTACCAGATTATTACTACGAAAGTATAGCAAAGAATAAAATTATAAGGAAGGAAAAATATTAAATTTACAGCCTGTCCATTTTCTATACATAATTTTCAAAACCACAAAAATAAATTGAAAAGTGGAGATGAAATTACTACCTACCATTCTTCAAATATATAAACCACAAAAATAATCTTCAATAATCAAAAAATTTTACACTCAAGAAATGAAATAGTTTCATCATATCACAGTAACATGTATGTTTAACCAGGAATAGTACCTAACATGGACTAAATTGTTTAACAAGGCATATCACAGCTCTCCGATTTCTTCTCTCCAAGTGCTCGCGAATCATGCCTCTAAGTCTGTTCATCAAATTCATAGTAAAGTGTTATTGATAGGATGAAAGGCGTAATCTAATAGAGTGCTGAGATGAAAGGCCAAAAATGCAACTGATTAATTCATTAAAAAGAGGCACGATAGGAGAGAGAACGGTGCAAGCAGCATCATAATATCTTTTGGTATTCCATTGATATGATTTCTCTGAAAAACCAAACCCCTACAAAGCTGTCCGCTAGTATCATCATTACTTTTTTCTTCGTCACCGTTAGATTTCATGAGCAATTTCTTCATGAAACTCAGCAAATAAAACTTGGTAACAATCAATTTGTAAGTTCGTGTCTGAACACGCTTAAGCTAATGGCATTTCATAGATATAAATAAGCTTTAAGGTGAAGAAAAAATGGATTGTCAAAATAATGTGCGCTAAAAATTTTATCAAATATTAGGTTTATCAAAAAAAAAAAAAACCAATGGGCTATCAAAACTATGTGCGTTGAAAGTTTCATTAGATATTAGGTTTGTGATAAAAATGGACTCTCGAAATAGTGTGCACCGAAAGTTTCAACAAATATTAGGTTTATAATAAAAAAGAATGGGCTTTTAGAGTAGTGTGTTTTATAAGTTCCATCAAATGGCTCAAATTCCTTGTGATAAATGGTTGAGATTCACAAATCTATCAGTTGCATGAGTCCACAAAAATGTATCATTTTAATAATCTTAAAAAGTGTGATTTACACCTTGAGATGATATGATACATAGCTATTTTCTAGGTTTCATGAACGGTTAAGAGTAAAAGCAATATTCCTCTAGTCTTATTTATAGGGAAAAAAAAATTATCTTATTTATAAGGCATTTCTCAATTTTTAATGCTTCTTTTTATATTTTTATCTTTATTAAATGCTTTAAATAAAAATATCAGTAATGAGATTTGAGAATATTTATTAGTAATAAAAGTGAAGACTTGTTAAATTTTAAAATAAAGTTAACAAAGTTTAAAATTTTTTTTAATTTCAATGAAATATGCTGGAAGTGATTTAAAAATGAAACCAGAGAAAGTATCATTTTCAAAGTAATACTAGCGTATTCCTTACTCTTGATGTTAAAAAACTAAAATGAAATTATATATAATTTACTTATGTTATAATTATTTACATTTCCTTTCATATGAAAAATGTTTTTTTTTATTGTCATGGAAATCAATTATGGTCTTTTTCCATAGCTTTAACACGTTATGGACTCTAGAAATTCTTTCGCTAGCTTACTTTTGGATCGTCGAACGTGAGTTTAGAGAACTTTCAAACTATGCAATTCTTTTCTCTAATTTTTGATAAACTTTAAGGTTTAAAAAATTCATTTCTATCCATGCCTTTGTTTCAAAATGTAAAGTGAACTTTAATAATCTCGCCTTGTTATTATTGGTTGGATTACAATTATTGTTGCCTTTGTCCTTTGAGTTCACTATAAATTGAATTAGTTTACCCAATTACAACACTAAATTACCCTAAAATATTGTAGATATTTATTATTGAGATCAACCACGTGCATTGGTGTAACACACCAAATTTTTTTTTTTAAAATAATTTAACTCAACCATAATTAGGTTATAGCTACCCAACACATTTTTATATCAATAATTTCAATATAAAATATTTTATAATTAACTTCAACTCACACACTATAACATTTCAGATAAATTTTTACCTCCCACATGCCATTAGGCTAAATCACATTTGTCCATCCTTATACTCCCAACAAGTAAACTAAATCACATTTGTCCATCCTTATACTCCCAACAAGTAAAATAAGTAATTTAATAAATTTTCAACACAAGCCAGTTATTTGGCCTTATAATCATGCCATTTTAACCAATCCAAAGTAAACTAAATATTAAAATTAC